GATTTAATTATAATAAAACCCCAGTAGTATAGAAATAGTTTCAATTTTTGTTTGCAATTATACTACACTGCCCAAAATAATTAAGGGATATTTTGTGTTTTTTATATTTCAGTTAAGACACCGTAAAAACTATCGTTTTTAATTAAGTAACTGGAGTCTCTGATCTCATTTTAATATAGAAGACAAATATCAAGCCACCAGTCATGTGATCTAAGATATATCTTTCAGTAATATACAAGCATGAAGGATAGAGTGTGTTTTCAGTTAGTAGTTTGAACGCCAACATAATATGTGGAGTAAACCAAATTGATAGTGAAATATGCTAAGACTCCGCGAAGATGTTTAGACATTACCACGTTGTGAAAAGTAATAGGTCAGCTATAAATCGGTCAATCGCTACAAGTCATTCAAGAACAGCTACATGTCTGACACAATATAATTCGCAGTGATCATCCAGAAGACTGGGATTGTGGAAGTTAGCGAGCAATCCATTCACTTGATTAATTTCAAAAGGCGGAGTTAATATTAATTTGTTATGTATGCTCATACGGTCAATGGCCACATCTTCAATCACTCTAGGTAGAACCTTTCATGCCTGAATGGAGAAAGTAATTTCCTACTGAGTGATAAAACCATACATAATGTTAAACTATATTAAAGCCATAATTCTCGCTTAACTTTTAAACAACAACACAGAACCAGGGTCCTAGAAATGGGATTTGGAAATCCACATACATAACTGCCACTAGAAGATGCATTACTAAGGATTTTCTGTAGAGATTGATTTTTATTTCTTTGTTTAGGTTCAGTATTTTGTACTTACCCATCTGAAAAAATATGGTTCTTAAAGACTTTGTTATTTGTATTTCCTCAAACTTGAACATGACTTTGAAAATAGCCAAACCTATCCTAATAAATTAAAACAATTAGACACAAAAAAATGTTACGAAATGATTCTTTTATAGTATCGTACAAAGTTACAGTTTGAATAGAAACTTTAGAGTCAAGAAAAACTTTGATCTCTAAAGTTATGCAATTTATTCCACTTTTTATCTTTTTGCAGGGAATGCAAGGATTGACCAGCACGCTCACCGGATTTAGATTCAATTGAACTTGTATGGAATGCTCTGAGGAGAAACTTTAGGAGATATTCTAAAAGTATGATTTATTACTTCACAACTTATGATTCACTTAATAAACTTGTCACATCGATGTACGATTCATAATCGTGTCCGATGTCATCCTACACTTTATTTTAAAAAGTTGTTTTTTTTATCATTTATTGGGCTGTAAGATTTGCAGAACCATATGACTCCAGATCATATGACTTATCATCTGACATTTGTTTTGGATAAAAATGAGCTCGTGAATGTTATTAAATATATTTAATAACACTAGTTGTGCCTTGTCATAGTTAGAATATAGAAAACTGTTATTAATTCTTAATAGACCCTCTGTGGCTCTGCGGTAATTCTGAGAGCTCATAATGCAAAAATCGGGTTTAAATACCAGCAGTGGGTCCAGTGCAGGTAGTATTTTTGTGTAAATTTATGCTTAAAACAAAATAAACGTCTTAATATTTTTGAGCAGTGCATTTAACTACTTTCTGTGCAATTATTAATTTACTAAAACTGTCATTCATACAAATGTATTAATCTTTAGTTTTTGATTTATAAACAGTGATAAATGAATTAAGAAGAAAGTGTATGTGAAACAATAAAATTGTTAACCTTTCTTTAACCACATGCACTATCATATATTAGATTTATATTATCATCATGTGTTATGTGAGTTTATTTGTTTGGGTCTGACATGGTTTGGTCGTTAGCTCTTGGGCTACTCTTTTACAAACGAACAATGGGATTGACCGCCAATTATAACATCCCTAGGGCTGAAGGGACGAACATGTTCGATACCTGATTTCGATCCTGCGACTTGCAGATTGCGTGCTGAGTGTTCTAACCACCAGGCCATGCCAGACTATATTTTGCGAGGTTTAAAGTTTAATTTTCCTATACAATTAAATCATTCAAATTATTGCATAATTTCGATTACAAATATAGTTACAAAGTTTATACGACTACTTACATTAAACCTCATCTTAGATTATCTGTATTATAACACGTTTTTCACATCATAAAATGTATTTCAATATTTATAGGAGAAATGAAATTCTTACCTTATGCAGTTAAAATTATGTGAAGATGTTATACGAATTAAAATAAATCAAGAGAAACAAGAGCTGTTATGAGAGGTCGCGACATCTATTAGTTATAAATGTAACTAAATATTCATGTCCGTACATTCTATATAGGTATTCAATCATACAAGCACGAATTTTTCCATTTGATATTATCCCAGTCATATATGTATGTATAAGTTAAAGCACAACCGTAATCCTTACATTTAATTAAATGTAATCAAACTTTCTTTTCCATTTGAGTATGCTGGCTTTCTCTTAACTGTAAGATAATTTCTTCTTGTTTATTTTCTTTCTCCTCCAACCATTGCTGTAGTCTCTCTTCTCGTTTATTTTCTCGTTCTTCTTGTTTCTTTTCTTTCTTCTCCAACCATTGCTGTAGTCTCTTTTTTGTTTATTTTCTTTCTCCTCCAACCACTGCTGTAGCCTCTCTTCTTGTTTCTTTTCTTTTTCCTCCAACAACTGCTGTAATCTCTCTTGTTTACTTTGCTGTTCGAGCTGCCACTGTTGCAGGTTTTCTTGCCACTGCTGTTGTCTCTCTTCTTGTTTCTTTTGCTGTTCTTGTATTGCTGCCATCAAATCTGCTAAGTTTTAGTTTGATTTGCCACCTCTCGTTTCCATTTTTATTTCTTTTCCTTCCCACTCTCTGACACCAATTTGTTGCGTATCTGCTTGTTTGTTAATTTCCGGTATAAATTCTTCAGCGATACAAGTCCTTTTTTAATTAAAACTAGTTTATTCTTTCTCGATACAACATTATAATACACAGAATTTCCACAGTCACTTTATACTTAACAACGTTTATAACACACGTTATAAATCACAGTGATTCACACACTTTACTTATGGTGCCTACTATTCGCTTGACTCCACTATCTATCTATCTCTTCGATCTATCTGCCTATCTCGCTGGCTTTCTTTGCCAGGCTTATATACTAAAAAAGAGGTCGTCTAGCAAATACTCGGGGCTTCGCGGGATTCCCCGATAATTCTAGAAACTCCAGTGCGCATGCTTCCAGCATCACGCGACTTCCGCTGTGGTAACAATATTCACAAACATAGAGCTGTCCCCACTTGGCTGTAGGAAACCTTTTGTATGGTTGGAAAAAAGGAACTTGGAATAAAAATATTGACTAAGACCATACAATACATGGGAGATATCACCCATGTATCTGGGAAAGAGTTGCCTATGGTTGTATTCAATCCCAGTTACATATGTAGTTAAATGATTTGTTCTTTAGTCAAATATCCCAGAGGAAAGCTTTGGCAAAATACCTAGAGTCACAAGTTGGTGACATTGATGTTTGCTTGAGTACTGATACACAGAGGAATCATTTGTCTTTTTGATGAAATGCAAAAAAAATGTGATAAACTTTCAGGACTTTGCCTTATCAAATGACACTTGGGGTTTTTACATTTTAAAAGGAAATGAAGTGAGAGATAAGCTAGATGGTTTTATCATAATTTTGAACCACCAAGATGGCCTGGAAAGCCATCAATTCAGTTTGTTGCTCATGAAAATGCATGTGTGGAATGGACAATGCCTCCTTTGGCAAGCACAATGTAAAATATTTTATGCTTTTTGTTAGGGAAGAGGACAGAATGTCTAAACTCACAGACAGTACTTTTGATAATTCAAACAATTTTACAATAAAAGATTTAACAGTCGCCTCATCTTATCTAATCAGTGGCTTCCATCTGTGAATATGGAATCAGTATTTCAAGAGAACTAAGTAAAATCACAACCTCTCTAACAAGTCTACCAGAAATGCCCCTAGTTCCCAAGCATCTCCATTAAGCATTGGTATCAAGTGAACAAAGCCAAATATTATATGACAAGGAGCAATACTCATGGAATATTTCATTAAATTCCAAAATCTTCAGGCTAATCCTACCTCTGAAGAAGGTTAAGGGTTTGCAATAAAACACATCCAATGAACTAAGTACTAATACAAAGTGCTAGTGCAATCATATGCCTCTTTTTGCTGCAAACCCCAAAGACTTATTTGTCAATTAATCAACATAAGTGACTGTCTTATAAAAGACAATTTTTCACAGCATGTCTGATGCATGTTCTTTGGAAACATTGTTTATTTGTGTTTTCATATTGTTAACTGTAAATTGGGCTTTGAATATCATGAAAAGATACAAGCTGCTGTTTCATGTCCAAGTTATTTGAAAGATGTAATCATTAATGTTGCTAAGACTATTTATACTTGTCAACAAATTGTCATTTTACAACATTAAATTTTTCATTTACCTAAGGTTTATACAATGATTAGAAGCTGAAGTTTTCAAAGATTTTATTAAAACATATACCTTGTTTTGTATATTAAATCTAGTTTTACGAGCTGTTTTCCTCTCAGTTTAACATTAGGCCTGTGTATTTTACTTCAATAAATACAAGAGGTTTGTCATTAGTATTTTAAGAAGTTTGAGTTGCACCTCAAGCTTGTTCTATATAGCGTGAGAATTTGTAAAAATGTTCTGAAATTTGCATATTGAATATCATACTTACAATCATTAACATTTAATGTTATTTGAAGAATGGCATGTATCAAATAACTAGTACACAAAGTCCACATTCACGTTTTAAACTTTTAGAAAAATATCTGTCTCAGTAATTTGTTTTATTATTATTATTTAATATCATAAAATTATTTCTAACATATGTGTTTTTCTCCCAAAGAAGTCACAAGTTTACAGAAGTATCAGCATATAGATACTGGATAAAATATACACAAAAAGACAGTAGTCAATAGAAACAAAGATCAAAAGTTTTTATTAATAAGTGTTGACACTTTTTTATAGTGGAATGTTAAAACTCAAATAAAATGCTGTACTACTTAGCAATAACAGTGATATAATATATTTAAGAGTAAAAATATGAATACTTAAAGACTATACAAAGTACATGAATGTGCCTAGCTATCTAACATGGCATTGCAGAGCATCAAAAGTTATATACATTATGGAAACACTGTCCTTATTTTACAATTGCCATCTTCATTTACAACTTTTTCTATTATATACCAACTGAAACATATGTTTTAGTATTAGTTAGCATTAAAATAATATGATTAAAAAATGTGTGTATATGCATATTGCATATATATACACATATATGTCACAATCACCTCGCAGACTCAAAACTGTTTGTTAAAAATTCTTAACATTGTGTACAATTTGTAATTGTGTAAAATAAGTAATCAGTGATAAATTAAGACATAAAATTTCTACAATAAAAATTTTCATTGTGATTATTGTTTTTTAAAAATATCCACCATTTTAAGCTAAAAAAATACAACCAGTTAAATATCTTTGGTCCTTCATTCTCTGTTTTTTTTAAACTTTTTACATTATTTAATACATTTACATTATGCATCCATATTTGAAAAAAGTTATTTATTTCAACCATATTCTTCAAATTCTGAAAGTGAATGGGCAAATTCTGAAAACCAGTCTCTTTCAAAAACAGCAGTCAATTGCTCTGTGATTGGTTGACTGGAAGCTGTTCCAGTTTGTGATTGATTTAAAATAAAACCAATCCCACCAGTGTTGATAAAGTAGTCTCCAGACCAGTTAGATGTTCCTAATGCCAAATAAAAACAGACAGAAGTTCATATGTATAGATTTGAGGTTCTTTATCATATGTTGATGCCACAGATTATTAATGTTTTTATTTAGGTTATAATACATAACTACAAAATGATAAAAAAATGTATTCTCAAATTCTGTTTTGTGTATTATTGTATAAAATGTTACAAGATACATTTCAAGTGTAAATTTGTAGAGAAAGCAAAGAAAGGCTTTACCAATATATGCAGAGTTATCTGTGACCATATATTTGTTGTGATTGACTCGAGCAAAGGGAATTTTTCCTTGAGCTTCAGAGTAAGATGGCACTATAAAAAGTTTCTGAAAGGAAAATATTTATAAGTGATTGAAAGAAATGGAAATAACCCTTATGCTATTAGAACAATTTCAAGTATTTCATTGCAAGAATAACAAAATAAACCTCTATGCTAAAAGAATTATTTCAAAAGTTTCCATTTTAAGAACAAGAAAATAAACAAGTATGCTAATAAAATACTTTCACATGTTTCATTGTAAGAACAAAAATATAAACCTTTAAGCTAACAGAATACAGAGGTTGAAAATGTTAAATTAAAATGATTTTGGAATCTCATCACATAATTAGTCCATATTCCTATGTTTAATCGTTCTTTGTCTGATTCTGATGATCGATCATACATTTTGAAAATAGTCATGCAACTTAGTTTCTATTACAAAAGGCTCTGTCATAAGGCTGTTGTATCCAAAGCATGTCATTCTTCCATAAAAGCTTTCCATAATCCATCTAGTAAATAAGCATAGTGTTTTTCCTGTAGACATTTCAACAGTAGTTGCACAGAAATCCATACAAGTTTCCTTTAGCGACCAGTATTTTTCCATTTGAAAAAGCATGCATATCCATTTCATTCTTACAGTATATAAAAGTTGCATATATATGTTGTGATAGCAATTTCTGTCACTTTTCCCAGGAAGAGATCCTTCTCTATTATGTTTTACACTGTTGTCAAGGGCATATATGGTTGGCTTTGGCCACTGATCTTTCTGTTTGTGGAATCTCACCTATTACAAGATACCTCATCTTGCTTACCATGACAGGGACAAGACTTATTACAGGTCTTTTATGAATGGATCTTGTACCCAAAGTTGATCCATGTTCCTTTGTTTTCCAATGAAAGGAATATACTCATACTTTATAAATCGCAGTCTGAATGCATCTTTAAGACCTGAGTATTGGAAAAAGCTGTTACATACCCTACCAAAAGCAATAACTTTTCAGTGTAATTATTGTCAAAATGTAGTACTGATACATTCCATTACACCTTAGCTTTAGAGCAGCTGTGGTTGTTGCATGACTTGTTGACTTGCATAGTCAATATTATTTTCATATAACATAATAACCTCACTTTACTTTCATATGTTTTCACTGTAAGAACAAGAAAATAAACCCCTATAATAAAAGAATAATATATGTTTCCAGTATAACAAGAAACTATACCCCTATGCTAACAGCGTGCTTTTTTGTGTTTCTATAAACAGATATTTCTTATTCATTTAAACACGGTAATTAAAATAACAGTTCAATAGTATCACTTTCTTCTACATCATGAAATCAAAACCTCAATACATACTTAACACTGAATGAGTACAAAAATAAAACTACAAGTTTTTAATTAAATCCTAAAAGATATTTTAAACAATTTAGCAATTTGTAAAATATCTAGTCTAAAGTTTCAAGTAGATAAAAAATTTAATTGTTATGAAAATTAATTAAGTCATTCTGAAAAACATACGTATAATATCAGTTAATACCATTTACTTGGTGTCTTGAACTCAAAATGCTGACACTGAAAAGTTTGATGAATTTCATACACCTTTTTCAAGATTAAAGTTTTATTTCATTTTGTCTTCATAAACGATGGTTTACTATCCTATGAAATATTCAGAAATATATGAAGAAATAAAAAAGTGACAGTATATTATGTTCAAATCAAAATCAGTAAAAATACAATAAGTATCAAAAAACAAAAATTCGTTGCAAATATATGTTTTCAATTAAAACTTTCAGACAAATTAGAGGAACAAATGCACCAAGATAGTGTTCACGAGCCTTACTGTTATGACAGCCAAAATCGCGTGATGCTGGGAGCATGTGCGTTGGAGTTTCTCGAAGGATCATGAATTATCAGGGAGGCCCGAGTTTGTTCAAGGCGGCCTCTTTTTTAGCATATAAGCCTGGAGAGAAAAACCAGCACAAAAGGGCAGAGATAGATAGATTGAAGAGATAGATAATTGAGTCAAGCGAACAGTAAGCACCATAAGTAAAGTGTGTGTGAATCACTGTGATTTATAGCGTGTGTTATAAAGGTTGTTAAGTCTAAAGTGACAGTGGAAATGCTGTGTACTAAAAAGCTGTATCAAGAAAAAATTTAACTAGTTTTAATTAAGATAGGACTTGCATCGCCGAAGTTCCTCGGAAATAATTTATACTGAAAATTAACAAACGAGCAGAAACATAACATTACACAATCATGCCACATCTTATGGCATTTGAGCATGACACAGTTATTACAAATAATCATAACTAGTATATTTTTTGTTCTTGCAGTGGAAAAAACTTGCATTTTCAACTTTTTTCTAAATTAGAAACTGATGACTCACCACTTCAATATAAGAATCACTGCTGTTCAAGACAGCCAAAGAACGAAGGAAGTATATCATAGAAGAACGTGTATGATTCCACCAACTGGCTAAGAGACGCACATGTATTTGTCTTTCAACTGCAGCTTTTCTAAGAGCATCATCAATGATAGGCCAGTATCTATGGTAAAAATGGAAATTGTTACAACTTGTAAAACGTAAACAATTGCACTACAAAACTGTGAAATAAACTAACTTCTAATCCCTTAACTGAATGTACAAAATAGTACACCACTGTAAGCACTGAAATAGCGAGAGGGGGCATGCCCCCCCTTTGGTCTTGTACTTTTCACCAGTTTTTCCCTACAATTCCTAATTTCGCTATGTAAATTTTCGTAGTTTTATGTTCTTTAGCTTCAACTTACATCTAGCTCACTCAAAATCCTATTAACGGTTTCCAAAATTCCAACTTCAGCATATTCGCGGTAGCTGAGTGACATCAATAAAGTGACATGTTATAACACTCATTTAACCAAACTAAAATTTAAATATTATCAAAATACATAGAAATTATATGCAAATATGAATGTTAAGACTTGCTCCCTCATTTCAAATTCCTGGATATGCCAGTGATTGAAAGTCTTTTCTATTTATAAGGTATGTTTGTTTTTTTCCAGTACACATTATGATAACATTCAATCAGTACACACTAAATAATATTCATTCAAAATACATTATGTGCAGAGTAAATTTCAATAACATTCTTTTACATAATTACTAATTACGCTCATGGGGCATGTGAAATAACCGAATACGTTAAATTCAATTTGAAAACAATATCTTAATTTGAAAGTTTTCATAGCACAGATATCTATCATGACACAAAAATATATACATACACCATAAATAATGTTTGACATTTAAAGAGTTAGCAACTTTAAATTTTTGTTTAAGTGATTCATATATGAAAAAAGGATTTCTTAAATAATGATTTATTAAGGACTTCCAAATTACTTCTATCAATTCAAGTCTGCTAACCAGTATAATCTAAAACCTAGTTTTACACTTTTTGAAAAATTAATTATTTGGCAAGATTATTGTGAGTTTGTAAAACTAAAAAAATGCTTGTTAAATAATCAATTAAATGTCAATACTTTTAACTGTCAGTATTAATTACTGTTTGTTTCAGATGTTTGCACAAAACTACACAAGTGCTATCTGTGCATAGCCATCCTTAATTTTCAACTGATAAATGAGGGAAGGCTGTTGACTCCACCCACTATCATCTCTTGGACTACTCTAATTGAATGCTGGGATTTTATTATCACTCTTATATTGAACCCACAGCCTCAGAGTTTGGAGTATAATTTTGCAGTAATAAGACATGAACCATGGACCCTCAAATTCACAATCCTGCATGCTAACCATTAGGCCATGCCTTGCCTCAGTATGAATTACTATCTTTAAAACTTCTAATAGTTTAACAGCTATAAAGATTTAAATGTAAATTTATAAAAATATTCAATAACAAAATAAATAAATAATTATTTATCTTTCATTCTATTGCACATTTATAATAAAATTGTTTGTTATATTGAATATGGTAGCAAACAAAACAATTTATTCTTAATAACTGAACTCCAAGAATGTCACTTGTTTTAAACTACGGGTTATTTTTCAAATTTTCAGAGGTACCAACAACAGTGGAGATCAAATGTGAATATATAAAATATATATGTATATTTATTTTAATATGTAAAGAACATAAGCAAGATTTTACCTGACTAGTAATATTAATAAAAATACTTTGAGATTAGTTTTATATTCATTAGGTTAATGTTGTTAACTTCTGTTTTTAGTATACATTACCGTTTGTTTTCTGTATACAGTGTACTTGGAAAATAATCCATAACAGCCACATAAATGTATTTCTGTGCTTTACTGATCACATCTAGGATACTGTCAATGTCATTAGTTCTTCCATTAGGACAAAACTGTGGTGGTGAACTCTGTAACAAATAAAAATAAAGGAAACTATTTAAATTTATCTTAATACATAAAATGAAGCTTTCATGGCAACATTTTTCCAATTAAATGTAAAATAAGTGCAAATAGTACTTTTATGTAGTTATTACATTTCTGAATAGGAAATGTAAAATTTCATGAGTAGCCCCTGTGATCTAAGTTGTTTTTCTATCATGTAAAGGTACAATGTTCTGAATCATATAACTTCTTGTTTGTATTGATCTTTCTATGCAATAATGACTTTTTTTTAACAAATTCATTCTTGGAAGTGGGTTGTGACCTAAGACATCCTGCCAAAAAGTATATCAAAAGCCATAAACAGGAAGTGGGCATGTATACACCCATTTTTCAATTAGTAGGAAGTTTCAGAGCCTTTCCAAGTAAGAGCCTGAGCCACAGGTATTCAGTTTCTTTACAATCTAGAATATATCTATTACTTTGTAAGCTATTTTTCAATGATATAACTGTAATAATATTGTGTATTTCATAGCTGAAATAAAGCTTATGAACACTTGGGAGGACTTCCTTAGGCTTAATATATATACATGCATGACATTGTAAGGTAAATAAAAAAAAGGTTTGTTTTTAGAAAATAATTTGATTTCAATTCCCTTGCTTACATGTAGTTAGTACAAATAAGTGCAATAACTTTAGAATTACTGAAATAAACTATATATATATATATATATATGTATATATGAAATGATAAAAACCCTATAACCTATTGCTTTCTAAAGGTGGACCTTTCTTCTTCAGGAGCAAACTGAAAAAACATTTCCATCTCCTACAACTGAGCAATGGCCTTAAACAGATATTTCCTGAAGTTCCTGTTTACTTCTTCCAAAAAAGCAGAGCTCTAAAAGATATCCTTGTTCACACAAAAGTGAATTATATCCAAACATAAAATGGTTGTCATCCATGCAATAAAGCTCATTGTCAAATCTGCGAGTTCATAAAAACTACTGATTCATTTTCTGACAAGCACAACCAAAGAAACTTTAAAATATTCAAAGAAATAACTCGCGTAACACAAAACATCATTTACCTTATACAGTGTAAAAAATGCAATCACCAATATATATGACATACACAAACAACTCTTAAAGAATGTTTCAACAACCATAACTTTTCTATTAATACCTAAAAAGATATCCTTTTTGCTCAACACTTTAACCAACCCAGTCATTCCATTAATGATGTTACTCTCATCTCCACTGCAACAGGATTCAAAACCAAAGCTGAAAGAGAGGTAAAAGAAGCTTATTGTATCGCTAATCTAAACACAGACTCCCAGTTTGCCCCTGAAGAAGATAGGTCCACTTTTCAAAAGTGATTGGGTTGTAGGGTTATAATTTTGTATCAGGACTTATTGAACCTACATGTTTTTTGACATCATGAATATATATATATATATACATACATACATATAAACTTGAAAATAAACTACACAACTGAATACACTTGATAGTGCTATGTAAATTAACGAAAGTAGTGTTTTTTTAAAAAAGAAGTTTGTAAACAGATTCACATGGTTATCTGTAATAAACAAATACACTCAATCAGCTAGCAAATGCATAGAAAGAGTGTACCAACTATTGTGCAAGTAGATGTAATCATATTACAGATATTTAGAAAAGCTTTTATAAAACTACATGAAACCAGCCTGAATTATCTTTTAAAAAAAAACTACTTAGTGCGAAAAGTGCATCTTTTTTTTCAGCATTACGTTCTAAACATTAAACCAAATTATTTCTAATACGTGACACTAAGTATAAGATTATTATTTGTTACCCTGAAACTTACAGATCTGAAATAAATAATAAACTGCTCAGGTTTTTATGGAATACCTAGAAAAAAAACCAGGAAAATGATTTCGAAGATCCAGTAAAATAAAAAAAAATGTATATTTGCATTAAAGAAGTACTAAAATAAACTGTTAAACTTAATCATTTTTCAAAATTAAATAATACTTTACACATATTAAGGAAAAATATACTCAAGCTATCAGAAAGGTTACATTAACATACATTGTTTATTTATTAATTTGGCCACTCTCGTGTGCAATATAACAACAAGAATTACTAGGCTGGGAATTAGAAAGTAAAGCATTTCTACCTTAAAAATTGTATTTGAAACCTAGACATAAAAATATTGAAATATTACAATGATCGAATAATGTTATATATGTGACATGGAGCTATTTTATCATAAAAATATTTCTTGGGAAATTATTTATGTAATTATTTATCTGGCATTTATACTCTCACAAAACTGTAATATTATTAAAATTTCAAGAGTCATATCAACACTCACAGACAGATAGACACTGGTTAATGTATCATTCATTGACACAGCTAATGGTGTTTCAGCATTGATGTTGGTATAAAGAGAAGATGGCCATGTTGAAGGAATGTCAGCTCCTTTTTTTCCCAACATCCAGTACACTTCAAATATCTTAGCAAGGTCTGTTGCTAGACAACTACAATTGTACACTATCACTCCAAGTTCTTTAACCTGTGAGATTGGTAAAAAAAAAAAGTTATACCAATAAAAACATAATAATAAATACAGTACTTAGAACTAATTTCCGGTGGCTTAGCAAGGGTTCTCAGAACCTGGTGGCAAAGACACTTTTGGCGCCCACACCTCTGAAATGTTTTGATTATTTGTTTTGTGACTAATTATCCACTTAATGACAATAACATAAAGAATTAATTACCGCCTTACACAAGCCTAAAATAAAGTCACAATATAACATCTCATGATATCACAACCCTAAACCTGGAACAAATGAAGTATAGTCTACTAGGTGTACTTATATAACTTGTAATCCATTTCGATATTTATGTCATCCAGTATTGTTCAAAGTCACATAACTAGAGTAATCTTTCAAGCATGCAGAATAAATTTCTGTTATATCCCTAGTTTTGAAAC